CTTAAGGGTTAATTTGGAGTAAGCCCATGTAGCTAATGCTTGAAGTTGTCAGTTGACCTAGATTGAAGCAAATTATACAAGAAATTATTTAAAATACCGGGTAATCCACAACTGTGCAAATTGTCCGACAGTATGTCTATGGAAACTGAATCAAATGCGCCCTTAACACCCAAAAAAAACTGCAGACAATTGCTCTTTGTGCGAAAAGGCCACTTGAATATCAAATGAAAGCATCGCAAGAAAATCGTTTGTTTCTTTACTCTTTCAGAAACCAAATTGCGTATTTGAAAGTAGATTGTTTGATTCAACCCTTGATAGTTGATAGGTTCATTTTTTCTAATAATTTCCTCAGGCATGATACCGTAGAGATTGGACGATAAAAATTGTGAACAGACGCTTGCTCCTAGGCTTTTGAAAAGCTATTACTTTAACCTGTCTCCATGCTGGTGGAACTAAATTAAATTCCATAAATGAATTATATAGGTTAAGTAATCGTCTTTTAGCGATATCGGGGAGGTTTTTAAGAAGGTCAAATTTGATCATATCGCTTCCCGGAGCAGAGTTATTCGATGAAAGAAGTGCCTTTGAAAATTCCAGCATTGTGAATGGTTCATCCAGAGAACCGTTACTTCGGGCTGTATCCCGTAAAGTTGGTTGTGCTGGTACAGAGTCTTGACAAACTTTTTTAGCGAAGTCGAATATCCATTGGGAGGAGTATTATTCACTCTCATTGGAAGATGAGCGGTATCGTATATAGCGAGTCTTTTTCCAAACCATAGTCATCGAGGTTTTTCTAGAAAGTCCCTCGATAAAAGTACGCCAGTAATTTCGTTTCTTTGATTCCAGATCTCTCATTTCTACGATAATCTTTAAAGACATCGGATTTCTCAAAATGCAACTTTGTGTATTCGTCATCCCATCCAGGGGTGGCGGGTCTTCTTTTGAAGGGTGTACATGGAACTCGTCGTTTCTGAGCTTCTAATGCGCTTTTGTAGATTAGTTCGGTAAAGAAACGATACTCGTCCAAAACAAGGTAACTTTGGCATACCAATCTATCTCAGCTACCACTTCTCAACAACCTTCGTATTGAAGATTTCTTCCAAAGTTTACAAAACTCAACTTATAATATTCCCACCTAAGCCTAGAGCTTCCTTTTTGAAACTTGGTAGTAGTCACATAGTCACTATGAACGGAGTTCTAATTTAAGTGAAATATCTTGTATTTGAACCTGATCAAAAATTAATTTTTGAAGATCACATTGAGAACATTCAAGCAAAATGTAAAATGTTTGTATCCTCTTATAAACAGTAAGTCCAAACTTTGCGTGAAGAATAAGTTTCTAATATTTAAACAAATTTTTAGACCGGCCATTATGTGCCAATATAGTTTAGTTGTTGCACTGCCAGGAAAAAAGCACTTCAAAGGGTTCAGAACAAAGTTCTGAAGATGATTTGGTAGTTACCTCCATCGTACAGTACTACCGAGGTGCATAAAATCTCGCATGTTGAGACTTTAGAACAAATGTCCAACATTAACAAATAATTTCAGTCAAAAATCGTTATAATTGTAACAATCATATATTCAGATAAGATTTAGTGTTAGTTTTTAGTGCTAAGATATCTATTGTTATTCTGACATGCAGACATAGAAAACCTGTTTAAAATAATGAATTACCAAAGCAGGGACAATGTAAACATGAATTTTCACTGTGATTATGGAGAAATCTTATTACGCGTTTTTTTTTCTATTATAGTCACTTTAACATTCTTGGGCCATTTGTGACTTATCGGGTGGTGAGATTTGAACTCGTTACTTTGACGTGAGAGGTTTATCCCCTTATTCCACGCCTAAAATGCATTCATTGAACATCTGATTCAGCAATTCCAAGTGAACACACACTTACAAGAAATCGCATTCCTCCTCAAAATTCTAGGCGAAATGTGCCATTGCTTCGAAACACGAGATTAACCAATGTTGATAGGATAGTTTATCGATCTTTGAGCGCTTGTTGCTTGGGCCACCCACCCGAAACAAGGATTAGTTTTTTCATCTGATGACCAATTTTAAATCAGCCAACAAAACCCGAAATGGCTTAGCTTGGGTCACTCGCAACTGTGTGTTTACATTTTGCACCTGTAACACCTGATCACTTACACACTTAATGTCCTTCAGGCTCCTCACCCGTTGCGAAGTTATGAACCCACTGGTAATCGAAAACTTTGAAAAGCTTCTTGAGCTGAACCCTCAAACTCGTTTTATGTCATTGTACTACGTGTACATAACACAGGATGTCAGCCCTTCACAGCATAATCCTCATCGTGTATGCTTCTCCGACTTCGGCAATTCAGTTAGTTTTGATTTATCTATGACGCGGGAGATTCGTGGGATCCCAGAACATCATCGTTCCATGACTGTTCCGTCAATTTACGCTGCAAAGTTTGGCCAAGTTGATTCCGCAAGATCGTTCTTCACAGATGGATCACTAATAGAGTCGTCCGCTGGTTTTGGTATTTTTAACGAATTTTATAGCGCCTCTCGAATGCTTCAAGCTCCCTGTTCCGTATATATTGCTGAGCTGGCGGCTATATACTATACGCTAGAAACGATCGCCTCACCTCCACCAGATCACTATATTATTTTTACGGATAGTCTCAGTTCTGTCGAGGCTATTCGCTCCATGAGGCCGGTAAAGCACTCCTCGTATTTTCTCATGAAAATACGAGAGCATTTAAGTGCTTCATCTTTAAGATCTTTTGTCATCACCTTTGCATGGGTCCCATCTCATTGCTCGATTCCGGGCAATGAGATGGCTGACTCACTTGCTAAGGTGGGCGCTATGGAAGGCGATATTTACGATCGACAAATCGCCTACGATGAATTTTTCTTCATTTATCGTCAACAGTCACTCGTCAGCTGGCAGAATAAGTGGAGTGAAGGGAGTTTGGGACGATGGCTATATTCGATCATCCCTAAGGTGTCGAAGAGTTCTTGGTTCAAGGGGTTGGATGTGGGTCGAGACTTCATTCGTATGATGTCTCGCCTCATGTCCAATCACTATTCGTTAAACGCTCACTTGTTCCGTGTTGGGCTGAAGGACAGCAATCTCTGTGAATGTGGACAAGGTTACCAGGACGCAGATCACATTATTTGGTCTTGTGCTGAGCATCGCGGAGTCAGATCTGAACTGTACGATTCCCTTCGGGCTCGAGGTAGACAACCTAATGTTCCAGTTCGGGATATTTTGGCTAGACGCGATCTGGAGTTTATGAAACTCATATATGTTTACTTAAAGAATATTAACATTAGATTGTAAGTTTTATTAACCTTGTGTTTAGTTTGTATTTTGTACGTCTGGGTTTTTTTTATGTTTGTTTTCAAGATGAATAGAAATAAGTTCATGTTTTAGGATTAATTAAATATTTGTATCGTAAACCACATTTCAAACCTCCCTCTCCCTTTTCCCATCAAAAAAAAATGTAAATCCCCACTAACCTCGAGACAACCGCGGTCCAGCTCCTTTAACTTTAAATATAAGAAATCAATAATGTATAACAGAAATGATAACTCGGCTCTGTAAAGTTTCTTCGATTGAGCCTGTACAAATAAAGTAATTAATAAAAAAAAACTTACACACTTACAGCTATTTAGCTTTCAATTCAACCGAGACAGGTTATTTTCATCCATTAAAATTATGTTGTGATATTTGGATGATGATGTTATGGAATTTAATTATCATACTTTACTTCCTACAAGGGCGCAAGCGAAATTCCTAGTGGGTAACTAGTTGCAAATTTACCATACCATTACTGCCCGAAACTTTATGTTAGTTTTCGCCGACAAATGCACTCTGCTGATGGTTGGTTGGTTATGTTTATCAAGGAGCTTTTCAACCAGACGCTGTTTAATCTTCGCCGCACAGAAATCGATGAGCTTAATGGAAAAACGCATTCTACTGTTTATTAAGACACAAAATGAACCTGTGAAGCGTTGACAAGATTTGGCATACTGCCACTACATTTTAAGTGGTACACATCTTATTTAAGTGTTACATATCGTGACAACGAAGTGGAGGAAACTTTCTACAGCTCTTTGTCTACAAACGTGGGTTTAACTGATTTTCTCGGTTGTCATCAAATTCTGTCTGCCGAGCAACTGCGGCGTCGTTGCTGACGACCGACGGGGGCCATCCTGCAATGTTTTCTCAACCACCTGACTAATTTTCAGCCGACTGGATCTGAAACTACCCAAGTTTAATTTAAACGTCCACACCAAGATACTCCCACTTTCAAACGAACCGTTCCATCCGGTTGGCTGTCATCTAAATAGCGACACCAGCATCACCTAGCACCAAAATGGAAAAACCACAATCTAAATATTCTCAGCTGTCGCCGTTCTCACCTCCTCGGAGCAAAAAGATTCACTCCCAAAATAAACCCAAAACCTTCGTGATCACTTTAATACTCTCGTTCTCTCCTAGTCCAGCGCATTCGTCCTTGCTTTTCAAAACTCCAAAAAATTGCACTTTCTCGCCCACTCGTATTTTCCTCCAAAACAGAGCATTTTTCCAAACCGTCTCTCATCGTCAGTCACCGTTCGCCGTGAGCTGTATCCTGACCTGGAGAGCATCGTACCCACTCCGCCGCCAAACAATGAGACGGTGATAAGAAAATTGCACAATTATCACCAACAGTGTGCGAAAAACTCACCACGTGGCATCCTGCCGGCAGGCACGGCGCAGACTCACCACCCACACCGAACTCACCCGTTCACCCTTCTCACCCATGTTCGAATCGTTTCGAACTCACTCGATTTTCCACTTCGCTCCCAGATGGGTGCATCCTCGCTCTTTCTCCCGACGGCGGTGGGTGAGCGGATTTTCCCACGAAGGCGCCTCCACTGCTTGCTGCTGCTGCTGAGGACTGCTGGATTTCATAAGTGTTGGTTTTATAAAATCTTCGTTCGGGCCGATTGAGCGAGTTAGTTGCAACCGTGTCCTTTAGCCGAAAGGATGATGAAAATTTGTCGCGATCGGGTCCGGATTCGTGCGGTTGTGTTTTGAAGTTTTCCTGAACCCAGAATAAAAGTTGATCCATCGGGTGGATTCTTGTGACAGGCTGAATTTTGAGCGTTTTCCTTGATCGGAAAGCGAAAAACAAATGACGGGAAGTCGTTTCGAGACGGGTGTGATTCGATCGAGTGCTAAATAGCTGTCCGTGAAGCGATCCTGCTGTTGTTGGTTCAGTGGGTGAACTTGTGCGATTTATTTTCTAGCAGTGAAGGAAACAGAAAAAGAGCATCATCCCCTATGTTGCATTCGATGGGTGAAGGAAGAACGGGAGTTGTTGTGGAAAATTCCAAAGCCGTGACGTGTGAAAGAAACTTGGTGTAAACTTGGCCAAGCGGTGAAATCGTAGATAAGACGGAAATTTCGTGTGAATTTAGGAAGATATTGCAGTGGGATCAGCTGACAGCTGCAGCGTCCTGTTTTGGTGCGTGAGGTTTATGATGTTTTTATGTTAATTATTCATGAGATGTGTGCAGGCGTCCGCAGCCTCATTCGATTGAATCTGCTTGTTGTATCTGGTACTGGAAATCACGAGCGAAAAAAGCGTGTTTGCCAATTGGTTCCAGCAGTGTGGGTAGATGGTTGCTAATGGATGCTTATGGGGTGGTTGGATGTAGTTTCATCTTCCTACGGTGGACGAAGGAAGGGCAGCAGGAGGTCGGCAGTTTGAAAATGTAAATTTCAGACGACTTTAAGGTAGGGTAGTTCAATGGATCAATTGCAATGAAAACGTAGCCGGAGGATTTTATCGTTCCATGGAAGGACCGAGAAAAGGTTGGCCATCATTTCTGCGAAGATGCTTTCTGCAAAAGTACCGTGATTTATGATTCACAAACGATGATTCGACGTGTTTCACCGGGGGTGATTCGTAGAGTATGGGTTTGTTCTTTGAAGAAATGGGCTGGATCAACTGTAAAGTTTATTGATTGGGTAAGAAATGTGGAAACTTGATCCATGTGGCTGTGTGGAAAGTGAAGTGAAATGTAGCTCATGCTGACAAGCTTTTGATTAAATCAACGATTTCCAAGAACTGTTAGTTTGTTTTTATATTAAAATTTGTTAATTTTACGTCTATAGTTATGAGTTTATACATTGATCAAAACGGCAACTGTGTGACATAAGGTCAAACAGACTGTGTTTATTATTATAAACAATCATTCTAAGTTTTGTTGGAAACCTTTGCTCATTAAGTTTTTTTTTGGTAATATTAGTCTCATGAATGGCTAATTTAAAGCTCGGGAGATCTGTATTGACCGTATATCAGCCTTACATGGCATAATGTTGAATTAGTGGGAAGTTACTTGGGATATCAAAGCCTATAAAAGAGAAAGTCTTCTTAACTGATATTTTCCAGCTGGACCTTTATAACTGTTTAAATTTATACGGTTTTAAGAGAGTCATATTACCTTCATTCATCTATTTGAAAATACCGCATTCAATGAAACATTCGATGCTGAAGAAATTTTAAGAGGGTTTTTGATTTCTAATAAAGTTTTATGCCAACCTACAATACAGTGTCAACACTTTAAAGAAACGTAACTGCTTTTATAAACAATGACTTTGGCCGTTGATTTCTCGTGAATAATAACTCAAGACACCTACAGGTAGAAGAATGTTTTCTCTACCAGCTAACATTGTTAATTTATTTGGAGGTCTGAATGTTTATTAGCGAGAAATTAACGGTTAAAGCCATTGTTTACGAAAGCAATTACGCCAGTTTGAAATGTTATCACTGAATATAGCATTGATATCCGAAATAAGTTTTTTTGATTGCTTTTAGTAGCCAATCATCTTGTACATGGAAGGTAAATCATTCATGGCTTTGAATGATAACTAAGCTCACTGACAGATTTTCGTAACTTTTGTGAAATAGGTTTAAAGACGTTAAAGTGCATAGAAACAAAAACAACAATTGCTCAAGTAACAGTCACCCATAGTTCAGGCATATTGTGTGTGTGCCATAAAAGATGGACTCGATTCCCGGTTCCAGATGGTGCAATTTTTCGTAAACGGTGGACTCAACTGGTCCACTGGGTGTTTCTGTTGTCCGTTGACTAGTGTTAAGAATTCAATCTGTGCAGCCTCTGTGTTATCTTAAGTGAGTCAGAGAGGGCAAAAAGAAACGAAAGCGTCCCTGATTCAGCAACAAAATAGCATTTCAGGTCTTTCATCATATTACTATGCATAAGAATCTTGAAAACAAGTATTTAAGATCCAGAATTGAAAAATAAAATTGAAGTAGGAAATTTGAAATACATAGGGGGAATGACTCTTGGCCTACAGATCTAAACATTGGGCCCATCGATAAAAATCTCCTGTTCTTATTTTGTTTCTTAGAACAATGTGTCATCTGAACAATACAAATTGTATGATTGCTAGTCAAAAATTGTCAAATATGCTTTCCTTCGAAATTTATTGTATCACTTTAATGTTCGAAGTCACTTCTTAATCGATTCAGAACAGCTTGGAATCACTTCAGAAAATACTGAATCACTTTAAAAATGTTAAGATTCACTTCACATCAGAAAAGATTGTAAACACGTCAGAAAAATTCGAAATCACTACGGAAAGTTCACTTCGGAAATAATTGAATCACTTAGGAATGCACTGAATCACTTCAGAAATATTCGGTATTATTTCAAAAAGTACTAAATCATTTCAGAAAAGTTTGAAAATAACTGAATTGTTCTAAAATATTTGAAAAGTGCAGAATCACTCTAAGAAAGTTTGAAATCGCTTCAGAAAGTCCTGAATCACTTCAGAAAAGCTAGAAATCTCTTCTGATAATATTGAATAACTTCAGATAATTTAGGATTCTCATTGGAAAGTACTGAATCAACCCAGAAAATTTGTAATCATTTCCACATGAACGGAATCACTTTGAAAAATACTGAATATCTTCAGAAATGTTTGGAATCACATTGGAAAAGTTCATGATCACTTCGGAAAGTACTGAGTTATGTCAGAAAGTACTGAATCACTTCAAAAAATTCGGAATCACTTTAAAAACTACTAAATCATTTCAGAAAAGTTTGGAATAACTCCGGAAATAACTGAATTATTCCAGAATGTTTGGAAAGAGCTGAATCACTGTAGGAAAGTTTGAAATCACTTCAGAAAGTATTGAATCACTTCAGAAAAGCAAGGAATCTCTTCGGATAATATTGAATCACTTCAGATAGTTTTGGATTAACATTGGAAAGTACTGCATCATCCCAGAAAGTTTGTACTTATTTCCGCATGAAACGAATCACTTAAAAAAATACTAAAAATTTTCAGGAATTTTTGGAATCACATTAGAAAAGTTCATGATCACTTCGGAAAGTACTGAATCATGTCAGAAAATACTGAATCACTTAAAAAACGAAATCACTTTAAAAATTACTGAAAAATTTCAGAAAAGTTTGGAATTACTCCGGAAATAACTGTATTATTCCAAAATGTTTGAAACAGCTGAATCACTCTAGGAAAGTTTGGAATCACTTCAAAAAGTATTGAATCACTTCGGAAAAGCTAGGAATCTCTTCGGATAATATTGAATCACTTCAGATAATTTTAGATTCACATTTAAAAGTACTGCATCATCCCAGAAAGTTTGTAGTAATTTCCGCATGAACGGAATCACTTTAAAAAAAAACTGAAAATTTTCAGGAATTTTTGGAATCACATTGGAAAAGTTCATGATCACTTCGGAAAGTACTGAATCATGTCAGAAAACACTGAATCACTTAAAAAAACGGAATCACTTTAAAAATTACTTAAAAATTTCAGAAAAGTTTGGAATTACTCCGGAAATTACTGAATTATTCCAACACGTTTGAAACAGCTGAATCACTCAAGGAAAGTTTGGAATCACTTCAGAAAGTATTGAATCACTTCGGAAAAGCTAGGAATCTCTTCGGATAATATTGAAAATAATTGAATCAGTTAGGAATGCACTGAATCACTTCAAAAAGGTTTGGAATCACTTCAGAAGTGCTTTTTTTTAAACTAGTTCGTTTTTTTTGAAGGCTCAATCGCGTTTGCTCTACGGAGCCAATAGTTCATTGTTCTTTGTTTGTAGCAAAATTCACTTAACTGTAGGTCTAGTAGGAGTTGGGCCGAATACTCGCGGCTAACCTGAGGTTAAAGAGGTAGATTGTCGAAGGGTAGGATCAGGAAAGCAGCTTGGGGGTAAGATTTCGTTGTCTCCAGAGCGTTGTCGGCAGTATGAACGGTAGTGCGATTCTAGTTTCGTCTGGAGTTCAACCGGCTATGGTGACCAGTGGGCGACGATGAGACTCATCGAGACAGGGGGACAGGACAAACAAAAACTATTAAATAGAGACAAAGACATTAAATTCATATGCTCGACATTTGAAGAAACACATTCCCAACTCGTCTCTGATGGGGATATAGGGTTGTCTTCCTTGGGCCTCGAGGGTATTCAAAAGTCGCTCTCTGGCGGTGTCATTATCCGTACATTGCCAAACTGAGTGATCGATGTCATCGTTACCGTTTCCACGCTGACAGATTTTGTTGTCCGCAAGGTTTATTCTATTGAGATGTGCATCTAGTGAGTAGTGGTTAGACATAACTCTACTCATCACGCGAATGAAGTCACGACTTAAGTCCAAGCCTTTAAACCACGCTTTCGAAGAAACATTAGAAATAATTGAATGGTTTTCCAATTCGAAAGGGTACTCTGACGCACTAAATGGTACAATTTAGCGTGTGAAATTTGCCCATCAAAAAATTTGGCTTTCTGGACTTTGGAAGTACTCATTACTTCAAAAAAGGCATAACCACTTCGGAAAGTACTGAATCATTTAAGAAAGTACTGAATCACTTCAGAAAAATAAGAATCACTTAAGGAATGTTTGTAATCACTTCCGAAAGAACTGAACCACTTCGGAAAGAACAGAACCACTTTTGGTCTGAATGTCTGGTTTTTTTCTGAATGTAGAGAAGCTCAGAAATTATTCGGATAGTTTTGAATGACTTAAGAAAATTCCTGAACCTCTTTGGAAAATACTTAATCCTTCCAGAAAGTTTGTAATCGCTTCCCTAAGAACTGAATAATTTCGGAAAGGACTGTATCACTTCACGAAACTTCGGAAATTAGTGAATCAATTCTCGCAAGTTTGCAATCACTTCCTCAAGAACTGAATCACTTTGAAATAACTGAATCTCTTCAGAAAAGTTTGGAATCCCTGCAGAAAATATTTAATCGCTTCAGAATTTTTTTTAATCACATTTGTAAGCACAGAATCATTTAAAAAAAAGTTCGAAATCGCTTCTGAAAGCACTGAAACACTTTAGAAAATCTCGAAATCAGTTTTAAAAGAACTGAACTACTGGAGAAAAGCTTCAGAAAGTACTGAATCACTTCACATAGTACAGATACAATTTAGCATGAGAATGATTAACCACTTGTGGTTGCTG